AAAAAAAAAAAAAAAAAAAAAAAAAAGAATAAAAGAGTTACCAGAAGAATCTTTTAGCCATGAAACATTAAGAACATCAGAATGTGGATTAATTGAAACAGCGTGAGTTGAAGTCTGCTGGGTTGTAATTTTACACTCCGACAGGCAGTTGCATTTTTCACTTTACTACTTGATCTCTCTCTCTCTCTCTCTCTCTCTCTCTCTCTGTCTCGCTTTGCTGGAATCTTAGTGCTGTTCTGCATTTGGCAGCTCTTCAGGCAATAAGTCCCTATTTAGAGGCCTGCATTCCTCCAGTGTGGACACAACTGCAGTAAACATTGTTTGTGTTCGCACTTAGAGACTCCTGGAGTGTTACTACTGAGGATGTGTGAGTGGAAAATGCAGGACACAGCTGATCTTGAAGTCCCTTTAAACCTATACTGTATATTCTATACAGTCTCTTTTTTTAATCCTCTTGCTCTCTTGTGTCGAGCATTACGGGACACCAGGCAGAGAATCAGCTCTTTTACTGACTTCTTTATCATGCTGTGTGGTTGTTTCATGCGATGACGCATATGTAACGCATAAAGCTTTTTCTTAGCGTGGGTGTACTCAATGTCAGTAACAGTTTATTTTCTGAGGTTAGCCTGGCTGTGTGCATGTTTGACCCATGCTTCACTACTGAAGATAAACTGTGAAATGAAATATGCGATCAACTGATGCTTCATTTTCATCTGCTCTAATATACACTAGACCTGAGCAGTATGCGCTTGTGGAATGATTTGTGGAAGCTGAGCATCTTAACATGCTCATAAATGGTATTATGTTTAATTTATCATCAGGGGTGTGTAGGCTAATTTGGCTCTAGATTTCTTTATAGAAATAATAATTTGTTTGTAGTTACATTTTATGTTGTCAAATGTCCACCAAAAAATATTGCTATAGAGGAATTTTTCCTATCCAGGTGTAGGGCTAAGCAGGTAAGGGGTTAAGGACATGGGTTGTTTGGTAGTCCTGGGATTGAACTCACAAAACGACCACTAGCTCAAAACCATAACCGCTCAAACTAACAGAGCACAGAGACATTACCCAACATGAGTAGCCCAAACAGTAAAATTGTTGGTTAGATAAAAGAGCCATGAATACTAATGGATATGGCTAATTAAAAAGTAGGGATTTACTCACCAGTGTGTAGAGCCACATCGGGCTCACAGCGAGAGGCCTTGCAGCTGGCAGGTGGAAGAGTTAGTTTCAGAGAGCAGCAGTCAGAACATTTAGAAAGAAAGCTCAGGGGGACATGGCAACAAACCTACGTGAAAAAAGACAGACAAAACACTCACCAAATGCTAGAAAAATAACCACCGAAAAGTTTTGAGGCTATAAGTCCCAGGTAATAATGTGGCCAATCTACAGAAAAGTGCAGAGAGAAACAGGTATGAGTGTGAATTTTTGGAGTTGATTTGATTTTTATACATCTGTCCATCCATCCACCCATCCATTCATCCATCCATCCATCTTTGTGTCTGTCCAAGATCCTGGTTAAAGCAATATCTCAACAACGAGTGGTTGAATGTTTATGGAATTATCATTGTAACCAGCAGATGAACTGATTCGATTTTGGAAGTCACGTCATGTCTAAAATGTTGAGAGAGAAAGAAAATGTTTTTCTTCAATAGCTTCCCTGCTGCTTGAAGGAAAGCATCCCAGTCAACACCACTGGCGTGGAGTTCTACTTGCTTCAATTTTAATTGAAAGGCAGTTTTTATTAAATGAGTCAAATCAGTTCTGTCAACAGAGTACAGCTTTGGCAGTGCAGCATGGTGGTGCATTGGGTAGTGCTGCCTCTTCACAGTTCTGGGGTTCAGTCCCGAGCTGTAGTTACTGTCTGTGTGAAGTTTTGCGTGTTCTCCGTGTGTTTGCATGGGTTTCCTCCAGGTTCTCCAGTTTCCTCCCACCTCCGAAAGACATGCAGGTAGGCAAATTGGCTAAACTAAATTAACTATAGGCTTGAATTAATGTGAGTGTGAGATAGACTAGTGTCCGATCTGGGGTAAATTCTTCTGCTTTGTGCCAAGTTTTCCTGGGATAAGCTCCAGATCCACTGCAACACTGACTAAGATACAGCGGTTACCGAAGATGAATGAATGAGTACGTCTCTGGTTCTTCTCACTCTACCGCCTTGTCTTGTCCCAACTCTTTCTTTGAGTCTGCTGTCACATTCTGACAGACAAAATTGCTTTTTGAAGAAAATGTTTTTTTATACTTTTAACCTTAAACAGTTTTGTATATTTTCTCTTATTGATGCACACACATTGGCCAAGATGTGTAAAGGCATGAGGGTCTTCAGGGAATACAAGACCTGAAGATGAATTCTTTCCTCCTGTCCTGTGTTAGGGTATTGCTCTGATTGCCCCACATTCATACTGTGTGTTTCCAGCTGTGCTGCAGACATCCTTTCACCACTATCCAAACACATACACTTTTTGTATCTTGTTGCTGCCAGATATTCATCTTTTTAGCATTACATAAACATTAACACAGGACGCGAACCATAATAAAATATTAGTACACACGGGACACAGGTGCCAAGGTGGCAGAACTGAGGAATTCTTTTGAAGCTAAGTCTTGTCGACCTTCTCGTCCTCTCTCAGCTCTCTTACTCCACCTCTCGTCCTCTGATCCCTCTATAAGTCTGCCATCACAGGCTTCCATCAAAGCCGCACAGCAGGAAACAAACATCCCATAGCCTAACCCTATGGTCCATATGTGATTGGACTAACCAGCATTGTCGTTAGCCTCCAGCAGCTGTGAGACTCTCATTGCCCCATTTAGAAGCTGAAAGCTTTCCCATCTCTGATTCTTTTGAGTGCAGCCAGAACCCACGTATGGTGTAGTCATTAGTCAAACGACCCTCACTTCCCCAATCTCTTCCCTCATCTGTGCAGTCTATAATAAGAGAGGAAACTATTGTGTATCAGCTTGGCACCGTGAAGACCCAGATGAGGTCCTGTTATATCAATAGAACCACATCGCCAAAACTTATACAACTCATCAAGGCCTCCAAGATGTAATGGTCCATTAGGATTTGGGCTTTTCTCTGCATGGCAATTGACATATGCTTGATGTGCTGACAAATGGCTCACTTTTCAAACCTGGTTTGTTTGACCCCAACTGCAGGGACAGAAAGGAGAAGAAGAGAGAGGGACAAGAGTTTCATGTTTCCATCAGCAAACTGGAATATTATCCAGACTTCCTCTTGCTCACATGGTTCGATTTCCAATGTATGATGAAGCGCTGATTAGTACATGGCAAACATGGCAACCACAAAGCAAACACTGCAGTATCTCAATGTTCCACTTCCAGAAATTCCAAAACAAAATCTCCATGTGATCTTTCTCATTAGTATCTGTCAACACACCAGTTTGTCCAATGAACTTTTTTTAAAATCATCCAGAGCCAATCCCTGACGCTAACATTGTAGACTCTATATTAGATTAGATTAAATTCAATTTACTTTTTATTTCTATAGCACTTTTAACAACAGACACTGTTACAAAGCAGCTTTACAGAAATTCAGATTCATAGGGCCTGATTCCACATCAGTCCAAAAGTAATATTTATGCAGGGAAATGTTCATGTGTTCAGCATTGGGTTACGCACAGTTGATTTTCTAGGCTCCCCATTCAGATTATGGACAGTACCTGCATGTAGTTCACAACTCTTGAGTAAAACTTCCTGAGACTGTTCTTTTCCCCAATGTTTAGAACGCTACCTTTAAAAACAAGCATTTTCCATTGAACCTGGAAAAAAAAATCATGGATAGAAACTGTGGACTGAAGAAATGTGGCAAGCATTGAAATAATCATCTATGAGGAGTCTAATATATTACCAATATATTGTTTCATGATTATTCCTAATTGTTATTATCACACTAATCCTTACAAAATTGGTATAATTGGATTCCACCCTCTTTATTTGGCAGCTTATAGAATAGCACTTGATCCAGCACATCTTAATTAGTTTGCCGTTTTTCTTTACTACGCTCACTCGTGAG